CTTCCTATGTAATGTTTGTTGACTCATTATATGCTCTACATACGATTGCACATTATGGATTGGAAAATTGAAGACTCAGACTACATATTTGAACAAAAGGTGCTCGAATCGCATGGAGGGTGGTTGGACTAATGCAAGGGAATTTTAGGAAGGATGAAGAGCTAAGAGTGTTCCACTCACCCCTCCCTTAAGGCCTCTCTAAATTATATCATTGCATAGCTCCTCAAACACGAGGGCTTGTAGAGCCGAAGTGTTTTAACCCCCAACTTATCTTTGGACTTTCGCAAAGAGCCATGCTGAGGCTTTTCTCCTGCCTTTAGGTCTTGAATGACCCTTTTGGGCGAGACTTAGTTGAGTCTCTGAGGCGAGAGTTAAGTTGAGTCACTTATGAGAGAATTATTTTAATCCCCCATGCGAGACATAGTTGAGACATCTCGGCTAGACTTAGTTGAGTCCTTCATGATGCGTGTCAGCTGAAAAGTCTCGAAGCATTTGCTGGAGGGAAAACGTGTGATAAATTTAATACCAACAATGATGATTTACCATTGGAACGCCTAATTAGTCTTTTCTTTTTTCCCATAAACATGTGAAGCCTTTCACATCTGATTTGAAACTTAGAGAACTTTGATAACACTTAGTTTCCTTTCCTATTTAAGGTTACGTGAAAAACTTTTTCCTTTTTACACAAACTTACTTATTTGCAAACCGTTTTTCTACCTTGGATAACTTCTGCCTCTCCACGAGTTCAAGTTCAAGTTCTATGCAAGTACCTCCCCCCCCCCCCCTTTCCTTTTTCTTTATGGCAATTATTATGGATTTAGATGAGTATGTCAATCTTGTTGAACCATTAACTCGTGATGAGCGTATAACCCAGTGGAACTATTGTTATAGGAATGCTAAAGGGTATTATTTTCTTTTTCATGAATTAGAAGTTAAAGCAAAGAAGGCGTGAATAAGGAAAGTTTATCTCCTGCTATCGTTGTTGCACAAAAATTAAGGCACTTCCTCCAAGAATAAAAAATCTTTTGAAAAGGTTAGTACTCCTAGAAAGAAACCAATTTTACATGTTCATAATACTACTAAATTCTCTGATGAACCACATGATACACCATAGTGACAAAATTGTCATTGTTGATGGTCACCCTTGTTGATGCTCATGTCATTGATACACTTCTTTATGATATTTTCAATGGTACCTATATCTCCTCGAAAGAGTTGAGTGATGTTGAATTTCATCATAAAGAGGTCGATGTTTAGAGAAAGAATGGCGAAGACAATGATGAAGTGAGGAATGAGAATCCTCAAAATAAGGATGATCAGAGTCAAGAGGAAAATAATGAAGAGGTTAATGATCATGGGATTCCCATTTCTTATATCATGAATAAGATTATTGAAAGTGTGTCCAAACCTCAAGACAAAGAGAATATTAACTTAGCTACTCAAGTGAAAGTTATAGATGTGGTGAGTGTAGATGAAGAAACTGAATCTGATGAGCAACCTATTGTTAGAGTTATGAAGAGTATAGCTAAGTCTATGGCTAAAGGAGTTAAAGATGTGGTGAGTGTAGATGAAGAAATTGAGTCTGTTGCTCGTGACAGAGGTTACAACAGACTTGTTGTTTAAGTTGAAAGCAAACTTGTGGTGGAAGTTATCACTAAAAGTCATATTGATCTAGGGCCAAACCTAAACTTGATTAGAAGAATTCGACAATTGGCTAGCAACAACATATGAGAATTATGCGTAGAACACATATACAAGAAAGCCAATCATTGTGCAGACACCCTCGTGAAACAAGGGAATTCAGTAACAAAGGATTAATTGTGTATGATTTTTGTCAAAATTCTATAAATCATATAATGTTAGAAGACTTAGAAAGTACTTTTGTTAAAAGATATATTTCTATGTAATTCTTTCGCTTGGGCTTAGGCCCTCCTTATTAAAAAAAATCTTAGGTTTCCTTTCTCTTTGTAATCAATTTTTATTTATATATGACATTGTTTGTTTGTTTTTAATAAATAAATTATTTTAAGATAGAGGAAATAACTAAAGAAAAAATTATTTAACATGATCTGTATGGGATATAAATGTGTGATATTTTCTGATCTTTTATTTACTAACTATTAGGGTTGGAAATGAGTCGAGTCGAGTCGAACTTGTCTCAGTTCGACTCAATTCGTTAAGAATTGGTTCAGCTTAAATTTTGGTTCGAGCTTGGCATGAATTTTTTTTAAGCTCAAACTCGACTTGTTATAAGTTCACGAACAATTCGATTCGACTCGTTAGGTTTATCTCACTTGCTTCACGGTCTTAAAAATAATTTTTTAAGTCTATTTTTTTTATATATTTGATATTTTAAATTAATATATTTTTAAAGAAAATATTAAAATAAAATAAAAGTTATCAAATTGAAATTCAATTTTGTTTAAAAAATCTATTGATACAAAAACTACATTACTTTCAAGAGATAAATTTGAAATTTTAATTCAAAAACTACTCAATTGGATTTTAAATTTAGAAACCTTACAAATTTAATGAATAGTACACCAAAAATTATTAGAAATTGATACATTTACATCAAGACTAATTACACCACTTGCAACCTTCATTACACATCCTATTTTAGCAAATGTCATTATGCCTCCAACTAGGATGACTCTAAATGAAATTGTCAACTTTACTGTCATAACTAGTACGAAAGAGACAATATAGTGTTAAAACTTAAAGTAAATATTTAAACTTACTCTTAAAGACAATATAGTCATTCTCATATATAATCAAGTTGATTCATGAACATAACGAGTCGAACTATATATAGTTCAAGTTCAACTCATTTAGTTAACGAATTTAATTTTTCGCTCATATTCAACTCATTTGGTTAATGAACTTAGTTCAACGATTTAATTGTCAAACCGAATTCCAAATTATTTTCAAATTGTTTCGATTAAAAAGTCGTAGTTTTAAACGTCAAAAATATAAGAATTAAAAGAAATTACAATAATCAAAATAAAAAATGTATACTGCATGTGCCCCACAACATGGGAGACACTTATTTAACATATATATATATATATATATATATATATATATATATATATATATATATATATATATATATATATATATATATATATATATATATATATATATATATATATATATATATATATATATATATATATATATATATATATATATATATATATATATATATGTATGGGGCATATCAAGTGAGAGAGATTTTAAAATGAAAGATGAGAGGAACAAACAACAACCATTAGATCATGATTAAACTTATTTATTAATAGTCACATTAATAAATAAGTTTAATCATGATCTAATGGTTGTTGTTTGTTACTCTCATCTCTCATTTAAAATCACTCTCATTTAATATGCTCCATATATATATATATATATATATATATATATATATATATATATATATATATATATATATATATATATATATATATATATATATATATATATATATATATATATATATATATATATATATATATATATATATATATATATATATATATATATATATATATAAGGATTATAATTTATAAAAAAAATGCAAAATAAAGTGAACTCATTTTGAAAAAAAAAAATCAATAACATATTCAATACTAAAAGTGAACTCATTTTGAGATTATTAATTTTTGATAACTCCATTTGAGACGAAAAATGGAACACATGACAACTAATAAATATTAAAAATAGAAGAAAAAAGTCAATGTAGTGCTAGACCTACCACCATAATATACACACATAACTTAGACTTGACCAATTATAAATAAAAATATTTTTAATAAAATAAATTGACCCAATCCATGTATAATTTTATCATCGGTTTGAATGATAATTTAATACTCAACTTATACTTCTTGCTAAAAAAATTAATTTTTTCTATATTTTTAATTGAATTATTAATAAGGTTGGTCCATTGTCCACTCCTTTTAACACCCTTTACTTTTTTTTCTTTTTTATTTATTTTTACTTTAATACTCAACTTATGCTGCAAAGTGAAGCTTTAGACCACACGGACAGTTTGTTAAAAAGCCTTCACATGATTCATGATCTCTTCACCTTATCGTTTTCAACGATTGCGACTTATTTTCCACCTAATAATTATATCCAAACTTATAAATACTAAATATAATAATAATAAAGTATACTATTATATAAAAAGAAATAATGATAATAATAAACATAATATTACATAAAAAGAAATAGTTCGGTTATGAATTACGATGCTACTACAATTTAAATCAACAACTACCAATAGGTATGGGCATGCATAACATTGTGTAGAAAATCATAATATTTTTAATCATTAAAAAAAACATGAATAATGATAATCAATAAAGTAATCCATATTTTTGACTTATCCAAAACCTATCTCATCTCTTATATATTATATGAAAAGAAAAATTTGAATAAACGGAAAGTTAATGGTCAACATGACGCACAACAACTAGTTATTAAAAAAAAACTTGTTATATATAATTATGTAAAATAACAAGACACAATTTTTTTTATATATAATATTCCTCAAAAGTACCACCGAATAAGATTAAAAAATGCTATATCTGGAAAGTATTCATTATTATATATATTTTTAAATGATAGAGTAGAGACAATACCTTTCCTCATGCAGCTAAAGTTTTATAAAATCCAGCCTGTGAACTCTCTCTTACTTAATAGATAAGCAAATTAAATATATCATATACATAATAAAAAAAATACACACTTTTTTATTAACATATTTATCGAGAATTGTAAACTATATATAAATAAAAAATTAATAAAAATGAAGTGTGTCAAGGGCAAATCCGTCCAAAACAAAAACATAAAACAAAACACTAAACATTAATATAAATACATAAGTGTTCGCATCTTCATGTCTTGTTTTTGCATATTATATTTTTGTCCATTTCTCATCTGCATCTTTTTCTTCTTCTTGCATGTTATTTTCCTTTTAACACCCCCCAAAAATGTCTTCAGAATTATCACAGCATAACATCCAAGGTCTAACACAAGAAGAATTCAAAGAACTCGAACCAATCATAAAAAAATACCACATATTAGAACCAACCACAAACACATGCACATCAATCATAACCTACAAAATCGAAGCTCCATCAAGCATAGTATGGCCATTCGTTAGAAGCTTCGAGAATCCACAAAAATACAAGCATTTCATCAAAGGTTGTAACATGCAAGGTGATGGAAACGTTGGTAGCATAAGAGAAGTCACCGTCGTTTCGGGTTTACCGGCGTCGACGAGTACCGAAAGGTTAGAGATTTTGGATGATGAGAAACATGTACTGAGTTTTAGAGTTGTCGGCGGCGAACACCGGCTTCAAAATTATCGATCGGTTACTTCGGTTAACGAGTTTGTTAACGATGAAGGTAAGGTTTATACTATTGTTGTGGAATCTTATATTGTTGATATTCCTCATGGGAACACTGAAGAAGATACCAAGATGTTTGTTGATACTGTTGTCAAGCTTAATCTTCAGAAACTTGGAGTTGTTGCTATGAGTTCATGTTCAGCGGATTCCATGGAGAATAATATATAATTAGTTAATCCATAATGAATGTTTTTAGATGATTAATTAGGATCATCCATTATGAACTCTTGATGTTTGGGTTCATTAGTTATTTTTACTTAATGCATGTTTCATTGTCTTTCTTCTTAATTAATATTCTTCTCATCATCATCATCAAATATTCAAGAATATTGATACATATATTTAATTTAAGAGCATTTTTTTTTCTTCAACTAGAATAGTTATGTGGCGGTTACTCTTTACAATTGGTTGGAATCTAGTAGGAAGATGTATTTAAAAAATGATTGTTGTCGGTATAAAGGTTTTTACGATTTCAGTATGTAAAAATATCATGATATTGATTATAGTCGTCGCAAGGTGAATTAACAACAATTTATTTTTAATGTAAAAATAATAAATAACGTATCGATATTATTTTGTCGGCGGTCACAAACAGTTTTTAAAAGCCAGAAAAATATTGAAAATAGATTCTTAATTTTCTTGACGTGATGAGTCTTAAAATATTTAATAAGTAGGTGAGTTTGAGATTATGTTGATGATGATTTTATGATAGATTTTGGCAGTGACGTATTTAAGTATATATAAGTTGGAACTTTTTTTAGGCAATACAAATTGATATACATTTAAAATTGGTTACTTTTGGATCCACTTGTTTAAAACTGTGTCAACGGAGTGGATGGTGGTTGAGTTACTAATTAAAGGCATTTTTGTGTGGTTGTGAACCCTCAAATTGAAGGGCAATTGGAGAAAGAAGTGAGAAAGTCTCGTGATGACTTTGTGAACAAGTTGAGAAACATGTGAGTTGTGATTAAGGAAATATATGGCTAGAAAAATTCAGAAGTCTGGTATATTGGGACTTGAACAACATAAAATGAGTGTTATGTTCTTTTTGTGTCAACCAATGTTATTTCAAAGGCGGCAAGAAGCAATATGACAGACAGTTGGTTGGTGGATTATATATTTTTTTCCTTTTGGTATATGATAAAATACAGCTAGGATAATTGTTGTAGTGCAGGTTTCAGATCAGAATTAATCACTTTCTATATTTAAGGTTGAGAAAATAAATACATTAGCTAAATGAAAATATAGAGAATGCAGACATATTTAATGGTAAGTGTATAGATTTGAATCCATGGCATTCGATTTATTCATCTTTGTAGAGTAAAATTTTAATTATTAAATTATTTGATAAAAAAACAGAGACATTCAAATGTGTGATATCTCACTTAGTTTTATAACTTATGTAGCGACTAAGTAATGTTCTTTTGAAAAGAAAAAAATTTCATATATTAAAATTGTTCGTTTAATTAGAAGCTAGAAATGAAAGATGAGGTGGTGAAGTTGTGTTGCTGCAGTGAAACAGTACTTCTAATGCGATGAAAAGAGGTGGATCTGTAAGCTTGACATTTTAACGCACAAGTCAATGAGAGAAATCAAAAGTAATGTGTAAGTGAGAATGTATTTGAATATCTGAAAGATGTGATTTATCTTTATATATCAAGAGCACTTGAAACTGCTCATGTGTGATGTGAGATTTTGTGCAGACAAATGTCAGATTGAATCAGCCGATGATTGATGCATTGGAGAGCGCAATTATTTGCTTTTGGTTAGAATGAAGATCTACATGCTCTATGCACATTTCAAGTCGAGATTTTCTCTTGGGCCTTTTGTTATGGGCCTTGCGAACAACCCAGAGCAGTTGTCTTTAAGCCCTTGTTTCAATTATGTAGAATGAGGACTTTGCTATGTACTCCCTTAGTCCCACAATGAGTATCAGAATTGATCATTTCACACCGATTAAGAAAAAGGAATAAATGAAAGAGAGAAAATGATATTTTTACTAAATTACCACTTATCAAGTATTGGGAATGATGAAAGTTATACTCCCTCCGTCCCACAATGAGTGATTCAATTAACCATTTCATACAAATTAAGAAAAAGAATAAATGAAAGAGAGAGAATGATATTTTTACTAAAGTATCCCTTATAAAGTATTGAGAAAGATAAAAGTAATATTAAAAGTGTTGTAGAATTGGAAAAGTGCATTAAAAATTAAAATGAGTCATTCATTTTGGGATATTTTTTATTCCAAATGGATCACTCATTGTGGGACGAAAGGAGTATTAATTAGATAGCAGAATTGAAAAAGATGCATTGAAAACTGAAATGGATCATTCATTTTGGGACACATTTTTATTTCAAAGTCTCTCATTGTGGGACAAAGGAAATACATCTTTAGGCCGATTGTTAAGAGAAGCAAGTGGAGATTCTTGATGCACATTATTAGGATTAGGAACAGAAGTATTAAATGTTTTTATCTTAATCAACGATGTTTCGTAGGGAAGTCCTAACCCGTGTCCTTATGTCTGATGATAATGATGTCATTTATGACCTAAGATACTCAATTACTCTAAATAATTCTCGATGATACCTCGGATGTTGGTTGTGTGGTTTTCACTTCCCATTGTGGTAGATCGCATAGTTCACTGTTATGGAAATGCATATAAAAAGTTTCTAGAGTACTAATATTCTCTTTTTTGCTGCTTCTAGATTTGAGAAATTCTTCTTCTTCATTTACAATTTCCTTCGTTCCTATCAGGTTTCTTACACATGTCTTCATCTCTGACTCTTTTGTGCTATCCTGTCGGTACGCAAGTACTTAAATTTTTCTTTGTTAAGATAACACTCAAATCTCTCTTTCTATAATTTTGCTTTCTTTATTAAGGTTTCTGAAAAAAGAGGGCCATGTAGTTTAATGGGGGAAATTGTATATGATTGGTGCCTTATTTTGCGTGTATTTTAGTAGGAACCCTAGACTTAACATTAAACTTGCCTCACATTAATATTTATATTCACTTCTTTCATGTATTAATAGGACCCCTTAAAATGAATGACCTCTAACCTGAAGTTCAAAAGGCCATATGGGACAACTCGCCAGTGTGAATGAACCAAGATATGTTGGATGTCATTTCTTCCTAAGGGTGGTTTAAGTCATATCTTCAAGGTGATGATACCTTCCGAAGATTGATGGGAAATTCCCCATGAAGAAGATAACAGGATTTGTAACAAATACGACATGTGTGTCATTCCTCTTCATTAATGCTTATTCTCTTTGATAAGTTTTCGCTTCCCTTCAACGGTTTTGAGGTCGACATGTTTAATCATTTATTAATCTCCCATTAACAATTGCACCCAATGAGTTGGGCTTACATCAAGATCTTCCATTGGTGTGAATATAAGAAAGGTGCACCGACCAAGCTTCTCCTCTTACATCTCTTCAAATCTTAACGTAACTTTGTTGATTCGACACAAAACTAATGTTTGATATCTTTCAAATAGTGTGTTATTATATCCAATGTATACTCGGAGCGTGTGAAACATTTCAATGATTGATGTTTCTTGTTTAATCCCCTCAATGAGGTGGCCCGTGTAAATGTTTGGACATATTCTTTAAGTTTTAGCATCAGAGTTATTTCTTGGAGGATTCCAGATTTTATGTTTTAAAATGGAAAATTAATGTTAAGAGGAGATTGAACAAAAACTTTAATTGGTATCTTTCTTCGAGGGTTTAGGCTATGTCGATGTCACTTTCCTTTATGATGTTGCAACAAGGAAATAAGGGAAGTGGTACATAGAGATACGCTTGCTGGTTGACACAGAACTTAAAGAGGCTAGGTAGATCATTTTTGGTAAGCAACATGGGGGAAACCCCTTTTCCTTAAATAGTATTTTGGTTTTTTACTTTCGAATATGCCTATTATTGACTTGCAGACAAAATAAAATGTTAAAAAATAATGTAACTTATGAAAAAGACTCCTCGGATCATACCTCTCATGGTGGGCGCTACCAATGCTTCAACCACTAGAGGGCCAAACTGTGGGGCCTTCTGTTGGGTTGGTTACTTTTTTCTCACCTACCCTGATACATGAGAAGGTATGTAATTCTTCCATCCAGGTTGTAGTGGAAGATAATGTGTTTTCACCATTATTTGTGGCTATGGGGAGTCTGACCATTAGTCTAAAGCTTAAGGTACCTTATTAGGAAACGTGATTCTCCACCGGCATCAGAGGCTTGAGAAAGACTTGGGGAACCTAGCTTTACGAGAGGGGTTATATTGACTATGGCCACTTTATCTCCCTCGCTTCTTGCCCACCCTAGTATGTGAACGATCAGGGAGTTCGTGCTTCTATTTCTAAAGAGGATTACACATAATTCTCTAGCAAGGATGAAGTCTTTTAACATAAGGAGTTAGTAGATATAGCGTATCATATTTGTCATTCATTAACTGTTTTGGCGTTTGGTGCTACCAGAAAAGGAGAAGTCTTATTTTCTGACTGTCTTTGAAAGGAAATGAAAATTCTCCAAGAATACATCAATATTGTCACAAAAGAGCAAGAACGGTGTCTGGAAGAGCTCCAAGGGGCATCTATCTTGCTTTCTGGGATATGGTCTGCTATACAACCTTTCGAGTATCCCGACACACTGAATGAGAAGGTGTAACCACTTGTACAGGTGGTGAAGAAGAGGGACGAAGTTGTGAATCTTGCACAGACATCATTCACCAAGGTTGAGGCTACTTTTTCTAAGGCCAAACAAAGCACTGAAATCCTCTCGTAAGATGGTAGAGGAGTTTGAGGCTTATTTGAAATAAGCCTAAGAAGGTTGGAAGAAAACAAAAGACAACTTTTAGGAGATGTGCCTTGAAAATATTTCATTAACTAAGGAGTATGTGAAGGTATTGGAAGATGGTTTCTCCTCCTTGCATGTGGAACCTTGTTTTGTAGGTGATATGCTTTTAACAAGGAAAACAATATATGATGACGACAACCAACTAATGTTGACAACTAATCTCTTAATAGATGGAGAGATTTCAAAAATATGCCCTAATCGATTAGGACATCATCTCAATGATGTGAAACAACTAGATATCTTTTGTTTCCTATTTTGAACTTACAATCGATTACTATTGAGGTATCTACTATAATTAATTAGCAAATATTAAAATGCAT